TTTGAGCCTAATTAGTCCATGATTAACCATAAGTGATACAGTAACCCACGTATGGAAATGATGGATTAATTAGGCTTAATAAATTCGTTTCACGGTTTCCAGGTAAGTTATGGAATTAGTTTTTTCATTCGTGTCCGAAAACCCCTTCCGACATCCGGTCAAATGTCCGATGTGACACCCAAAAATTTTCTTTTCGCGAACTAAACACGGCGATACTCGACAGGATCAACCTCTCAATAGTTATTTTAATAAGTAATAGAAGTAAATCTCAAACTCTATACTAATTTTTTTTGTTGTGTGTCCACGGACAGAGACCAGAGATGTAGGGGATGTTTGGTTGCTTACTAACTTTGCCAAACCACATATTAGGTAAGGTGTGGCTGCCACAAAATGTGTGGCTAGCAAAATGCTAGCCACAATTTAGCTAAAGTTAGCCAAACATACAAGTGTATGACATGTGGGGCCATATAGAGAAAAGGTGTGGCTAGCCATAGTTGAGTCATCAACCAAACGAGTGACTAAGAAATTTTGGCATGACTCACTTTAGGTGTGGCAAATTGTGACCTGCAACCAAACAACCCCTACTAATCCATTTTCATTATGTTAATAAAAAACTCTATACCAAATTAGGATGCACTACTCGATCATTACACTGTGATCAGCTGAAATGCTTATTTCAATCAAAATAAATAAAAAAAAATAAAGACAAACAAGCAGATATAACTAGCGAACTAGCCTAAACGAATAGTGTCACCACTCACCATGGAGAACATTAATTACTAGTAGCAACTTAGTACGACAGCTACACAATGAAAAGTTGTTAAAGCTTCTAGTTCTGTGCTTTTCAACTTATTTGCCCGATTATTGAAACACCTCTACAACAATTTTTTTTTCTCACAGAACTTTTTTTATTAGATCACTTGTTTTAAACTATTTACTAATTTATTAATTTTAATATTAAATTTATTTATATAATCAAATTGATAATCCACAATAATAATTTGCTCGACAATCTATGTCAAACATGGCTAGTCTCTGAAGCAACAGACTCTCTTGAGAAATGAGATGTGAAGCAACTCGCATTGTTGACAGTAGATAGTACCAAGGCAACACCTTCAAAAAAAGAAGATCCAACGAATAAAATGCAAATAAAATATTTTTCCCTGGAAAGGTTACCAAAGTTCTAAAAGAATGCCCAGCACAATCCATTGTTGAATCCAGCCGGAGGCCAAATCACTAGCAAAATCATTCATCCATTACTAATCTCTACTACTTAAAAAATAAGTGGTGCTTCCATCGTCCGTAAAAAAAACCGAGCGAAAAAACCAAGCGAAAAAAGTCCGATAAAAAAACGGAGTGAATAAAAAATCGGGAGAAAACAATGTCCGATCAAAAACGGAGCGAAAAAAAAACTGTCCGACCCAAAAATTACGAACCGGGCGAAAAAAACATGCGAAAAAAACGAGCGAAAAAAACCCGGTGAAAAAAAGTCCAATCCAAAAAATTCGGAGGAAAAAAACGGGAGAAAAAAATGTCCGCTCCAAAAAATACGGGGCAAAAAAAAACGAAAAGAGACAGTAAAAAAAGGGCGAAAAAAATTATCCAATTCCGAATTATATGTGACACGGTAAAAAAATCGACCGGGCGTAAAAAAATGCAGCGAAAAAAAACAAATCTGTCCGATAAAAAAAAGGAAAAAAGGGAAGAAAAATCGAAACGAACCCGACTCCGTTGACACGGTAAAAAAAGGGCGAAAAAAATAAATAAAATGTCTGATTCCAAAGAAAAAAGAATTATATGTGACGCGGTAAAAAAATCAAATCCTATTATATCTAGAAAGGTCCGACACTATAATAAAGTAGTAAAAAAACCGTTCGTAAAAAAATGCATGAGAAAAAAATTAAAATGGCAGAAAAAAGCGCGGCGGAAAAAGTCTAATTTCTATTCGTCGTTTTAGTAGTTCGTTTATATCTCTTCTTTATCTCTAATCTAATCTAATCTAACTATTTAAACAGAGAAGTTTCTACCGTATATTAAAAAAAGATGCATGAGAAAATAAAAACGGTTTAAAAAAACACGTGAGGAAAAAATATCAGAAAAAAGCGCAAAAGAAAACGCGCTAGAAAAAAAGTTCCATAGTCCGAAAAAAAACACGCGAGAAAAAAATATTTCCATCGTCTGTAAAGAAAGCAAAAAAAAAAAAGCATACGAGGAAAAAAACTGTTAAGAAAAAACACTAAATTGATAATTGATAGACACCTGGTTGGATAGGCTCCATCCACTTTTTTCCATCTCCTACATGACTTTTGTTTCGTCATCTATTCTCATATAGTGGAGACCCTGCACATATTTGTAGACAATTATCATACTATTTTTATGAAGTATAACTATTATTCTTGATAACATATTATATGGAAATAATCTTAGAAAATAAATATATTCTAATTGTTATTTAGAGAAGAGTGCATAGTGACTCTATTTTGTGTAGACTTGACCATACGAGGCAGTGTAGGATTTGATTGGTTGCAAGAATGAGATTAAAAGAACATTTTAGATTATATGCATATTGTTATATGAATAATTCAATTATTTTAGGTAAAGCAAACATCATAAAGTTGTCATCATCAAGGTTGGGCTATTACATTTAAGATGTTCCAATTTTTTGATTTTCTAATTGTCATCGACATGGTTATGCATGAAAAACGTATATTATCATTATGTTTTTTCACCCATTGCAACGCACGGGCATGTTTGCTAGTAACGCACGGGCATGTTTGCTAGTAAGTATTAAAATATGAGCTTGCTTGTTACAGGTACACTTGAGAAGTAATGTTTTTTATTTATATACTAGATGATATACTTCATACGATGCTGCGGGAGTTTGGTCAGCTTAACTTTTGATGACTTGGTCTCACCTGTGAGTTTTTTTAAGAATAATTCTAGTTAGTAATTAAGTTGTAATTATGTCGAATAGAGGATATATCCTACATACCAGTTCTTCTAATCATTACAATTCTTATTGATTTTTATGATCAATGAGCAGGCTACATATCTCTTATGTAAGATAGGATCGTTGCGTTCTTTGTGATCAATGCGAGAAAACAATTGATCATGCGAGAAATAATCGGGTCTTCAACCAGAAGAGCAGAACATGGGCGGAGATTATAAGGGTTATGATGGGTGATGCAGAGCTTTGGCGGCTGGCTATAGCCGCAATCCCTCTTATGGTAGTCCCTGTGAATGGAGAAGGGTCACCAAATTTATTTGGAGATTAGGCTTTTTTTTTTCGTTTTCCCTCTTGTATCTTGTTCTCTTTGTTTTTTTACCCGCTTTGTACATACATTTATTCCTTCTTAATACAATGATGCGCCGCGTATTAAAAAAAGATAATTCTCCTCATCACCCACTTTTGAATCCTAATCCTAGTGGGCACATCTTAAAACTAGATGCTTTGTACCATCATAAACGCTCCTAACTAGTATAATTTTATTTATATATTTTGTATTCGTCCGGAACTATATGTTGTACTATACGTGATTTATATTTTTATCTTATAAAACATAGTTAACCGTGGCATTCATCCTAGACTTACAACGATACATTGCATCGTGTGTCCTACTGATTATACTTTCTGTTTTACTATTTGGTTGTGTCTGTCTCAGCTTTTATTATTATTATTTTTGTGTCTGTCTCAGCTTATAGCTAACATATATACAACTGTAAAAGGCAGAACATTAAGTTTATTATTATTCATTCTTTCTATCACCATCGAAGCAAGCAGCAACTTAAAAACATTTTGCTGTCAAGGACGTACTCGTGTGTAAATTAGTGACCTTCACTTGCGAAGTCATTGTGCTTACGCGTCATACATCATTCCATCCGGTTTGCATCCTTGTGCTTGTTCCAACAAAAATCCAAAGAACTAAGTCATTTTCAACGAAAAGAACATCGCGGCGATTCAGACGAAATTCATCTACTACGTTACAATGGTTCAACTTAGACCTGTGGCTGTGTACAAAACTGAGTTTGCAATAAGACAAAATATAGTGTAAGCACTAAAATATATTCCATGAGAAAAAAAAAGGGGGAGGTGGGTATCTTTTCTAATAGTAGTTTTGTTTATTCCCTAATCTTTAGCCGTAGGACAACAATTCCAGAACTGCTACGCTATGCACATCTCTATCACGATTCTTTTCTTCGATTAAAAACATTTCTTTTTAACTGCTTTGCTAAAATTATGTCGACATATTTCTGGACTAAATACAGTCAAATACAGTCAGTTTGACGATCTGCCATCTAATCTTCTTCATGATTCGTGCAAAGTACATCTGATAAGCTGATCGAACAACTTGCTCCTAAGTTCGCGACTCCTTTTTGCTTTGCATGACACGTGTTTGTCATCAACTAATGTAATTACTCTATTTACACAGTAATTACACATGTATAATTTAGGACTTAGATATATAATTTTGGTACTTACATTGTAAATACACTAAAATTACATATGTAATTTAGATTCTTACATATGTAATTTCAAGACTTACATTGTAAATACACTAAAATTACATATGTAATTTATGAACTTACAATGTAACTACATGCCGACTATTTTTTTTGAAAAATATGGCGTCATAAATATAGCTACTCCCCCTTTTAAAACCTAATCTTCCTATTCTGCCCTTGTCCTTCTCCTCCTCCTCCTAACAGTAGTTTGGGTTGGGTTGTCCCAGAAAATAAAATACATTTGCACCATGCAATTTTCCAAGCTGAAACGTTGAAATGGCGAGAACATGCCCGTTTTGTACTGGAGAGCGTGTTACCCCCAGCTAGATGGAAATGGGCACACACCTTCCCAAAATTTCCCAATGGAATAAGCATATGTCATGGAGGGTCCCCCACGGGCGGCAAAAGTATTTGTTCCCTCTATTCTAGTGGGGTGCGTGCTGAGCCGAGCCGGAGCACGAAAGCACACACCCCACAACCCCCCCGTCCGCTCCCTACAAATACCCCCCGCTCTCCCGTTCCTCCTCTTATCATCGGTGTGCGCTCCCATCTGAACTGAAGCCTCTTGCCATCTCCCCCAGCCGAGTGAGTGATCTCTCCTCTCCATCTCTTAGCCGCCAAAGCAGAAGTCGTCGTTGTGAGGCTTACAGCTAGCTGCATGCGCTCGCGTGTGTAGAAGATAGCAGCCACCACCATCACCAGACACCAGCAAAAACAAGAGAAAAATTCCACCGGCGAAACACGGAACAAAACCGAGACGCGCGTTAGAGTCTACCAAGCTTATCTCCCCAACCCCACCCCGCCGCGCAGCCCAGCCTCTCGTTCGTTTCCACAGCTTCTCCCGTCAAACCGCGCACATCCGCCTATATATCGCGCGCGCGTGTGATCTCCCGGTTTTTGTTTGGTTTTGCTCCCCGTTCTCCCGTTGCCGTCCCACGAGGTAAAAACTAAACCAAATACATATATAAAAAAAACGCGGTGCTGCGACGAGGACAACGTAGCGGCTAGCGCCATCACTCGTGGTGTTACTGCTTTGCCACTGTACTGTGTACTGTGGTGTGTGTGTGGGGGGTTGTGACTTGTGTGACGCTACCTGCGACAAGAGGACCAAGGGAGACATGGCAGTGACAGTGTTCGAGACCGCCGAGCAGCGACTGCCGTGCCACGCCGCCGCTGCCGAGCTGGGCGCCGACGGCGGGAAGAAGGTGGCGGTGGATGATGATGCGAGCGGCGGCGGGCCCGGGCAGGCCGTGCTGCTGCTGCAGGAGACCGATCACGGCGGCGACGACGACGACCGGCCGGAGAGGGACGACGTGTGGAACATGATCCAGTCGCAGAGGCCGCCGGTGGCGGCGGGGAAGCAGCAGCAGGCGGCGGCGCCGTACGTGCACCCGCTCGTGCGGAGGTCGTCGAGCCTGCTCAGCCAGAAGAGCCTGGAGATTTGCACCGAGAGCCTCGGCTCCGAGACCGGCTCCGACGGCTTCTCCGACGCCGATGGGTCCACCGACCGCTCGTGCCCCGCGTCGGACGATGACTCCGACGGGGGCGCGGAGGAGGTGGCCGCGCGCGCCAGCCCGCCACGCGCGTTCCCGCCGCCGCTGCCGTCGCTGGCGCGGCGCACGGTGGGGGCGGTGCAGATGACGCAGGACCGCCGCGACGGCCGCCTCGTCGTCAAGGCCGTCCCCGTGCCGTCCGCCACGCTGTTCCGCGCGCAGCGCTGCGGCGGGCGCCTGCTCCTCTCCTTCGCCGACACCGCCGCTCCCTCCTCGGACGAGGACGACGAGAACAATGACCAAGAAGAACCCGAGCAGCAGGCCGACGAGGTCGCGCACGACGAGGAGGAGGAGGAGGACGACGAGGATGACGAGGAGGAGGTCGAGGTCGTGGACAGGGGCACCATCGTCGAGGTCAAGGTCAGCACGCAGCCGCAGGCGCGCAGCAACGGCGGCGGCAGTGTTGGGCCGCGGGTGCACCGCTCCTCGCTCGTCATCAACAAGTTCGTCAACGCCGAGCCGGCCATCGCCGCCTCCGACATCAGCGACACCGCCGCCACCGCACCCAATCCCCCGAGACGCCCGACCGGGTCCACCACCACGGCGGCCGCAGCTCTCGTCGCAGCCTCATCTCTGAGCGCGACCTCGGCTCCGTCGGGCAGTGACAACCCCGGCGGCGAGAGCAAGCTGCTGATGACGACCTGCCGGCGCCGGCGGAGCAAGGAGGAGCTCATGAACCACATGCGCCGATGCGGGCAGCTCAGCGGCAAGCTCTTCATATGGGAGCCACGCATCGCCACCTCCTCCTGAGCCGACGAGCCTCGCCGCCGCCTCCTCTGCTCGCTTGTGCCACGAGTGCTCTGCTCTGCTCTGTTTGTTCGTAGCCGTTGTAACGTAAACGTGCGTAATATTTGTGTTAGTAGCAAGGTGATCGCCACGTGATTGGCTTAGCCCTCTTGTCTGTGTCTCCTTCCGTGAGTGAGAGGGAGGGAGCTAGATTTGCTTTCGTTTATCTCCATCCGTCCCCGTGTCTCGTTGCATGCTGTATCTACTACGAATTTGCATGCATTGCGTACCAGTGGTTGCTGCTCGCTAATTGATTTTAGATTGTGCCATGTGTCTGATCCGATTACGATGTGTAGTAATAATGTTATGGCACAAGTTATGGATAATGCTGGTTCATCAGTTCATGCGAACAAAACCAAATCGCTACTAGATGCACGACAACCTTGTGATCATCGCTCAGGCAGAGCATCTATCCGAAGAAAAACAGAGTCAATCCAAGATGAGGAACTGTCCAAAAAATGATTAGTATTCTTGGCACCAGCCTAAACGTACGTCGGTGGCTGTTCTGTTGATAACCTTCGGAAATTCTCAGTGAACACAGCATAGATTGGCATGTTTATACTGAATTAAACGGATAATTACCCTGCAACTCAAAGTCTCAAGATTGGCATATCTCCATCGGTCCAAGTTCGGTTAATTGCATTGAACAAATTTAGTTTACTCGTACATGTTAGGTGCGTACCAGCATTTGTTTCCAGTTGTGAAACATTTTTAGGACTAGTCAAACTCAAGTTTCTCAATCACAATGCGTAGTGTTGTCTATGTAAAAGTCCCATCAATTCCTTCATTCCTCGTATGAGCAATAATATAGATCAAATGATCCGTTATAAAATTTTGGTGAATAACCCCAAAAATTAACTAAGCCATTGTGCATTTGCTTCGAAAGCATGTGTCGTTGTGATCTATATTATTGTTTATTAAGAGGAATGAATAATAATATAGAACATATAGTAGAAGTCTTTTAAAAAATATATATTTCTCAAAAAGAGCGTATGGTTTACACGACTTATTTTAAGCTATTTGTTAAATTTATTATTAAAATAATTAGTTTACTCCTATAATCAAATTAATAATATGCAACAACAATCCGCCATCACCAACAGATTCTTTAAACATATCCAATCATAAAATTATGAGATTTTAGCTGAAAATCGTGCCTTGTTTGGTAGAGCTCTAACTCCAAAATTTAGCTATAGGGGTTAGGTCTGGAGTAGAATTGTGGAGGAGCCAAAACGCAACTCCACATCTCTAATTCATTTTGTAAGAGCACTCCACCCAGCTCCGTTCCTATTTTAGGTGGAACTGAAACTGTTTGGCTGAGCTGGAGCTGTGTCAAACAGAGCCCAAGTCTCAAAAATTTGGTAGTCCTATTTCTGATTTTTCGCTCTCCACAAGTTGGAAGCGCGCAACCACTCCCAATCTCCAATCAGAGCAGAGGGGTGGAGGGGAGTTGAAGGTGGGTACATGTTCTGTTTTAGGAAGCTAATTTTAAGCAATCTATTGCAAAGATTCCTAAAACGATTTTCTTTTTTATTTGGAATTTGGGGAACTGTTGGTCAGCTATTAATAATATATTTCAAACTAAGCCTAAGAAAACACTAGAAATGCGGGTAGTTAAAATCCTGCCTATCATTATGTATAGTCGAGTACACTACCAATAAGGGTTTAGTGATTTTAATAAGGACTTAGCGAGATTAACAGATTTAAAATTAGGTATCTATATCTGGAACGTGTGTTCTGATGATTTATCTCTTGAAACATGTGTTAAATGAGGTGGGGTTATGGGGGCACGAGCGTAGTGTGTATGTGTGCATCTTCACTATAATCGAAAAAGGCTTAATTGAAAGAAATCAGATGCTAGAAAATAAAATATGACAAAAAAAACTCCAAAATTATATTTAAAATTTATCATAGCTGCTTATAAGTTGAAAGGTAGACGTTGTGTTTTAAAACTAGATAAACATGTCTGTCCATTGCAACACGATCTAAAATAATAAAATAATATGGAATAATAGTTTTATAAGGTTTAGTTTTTTTATCCACTTTCATTAGTCGGTTAATTTTGGAAAGGGTGGTAGGGTAGGAGAGGTGGGCCAGTTCGTTTTTTATAGATTTTTTTTGCGCACACAGGTGGGAGAAGGACAACTACCACTTTTATAAGGTAGTAGATATTTCCGATGGTATTTTTATGATAACTGGTATTTTTTTTCTAATAAGTGGTATTTATAATCTTGTCTCAGTGGACTCAAATAGTAGATATAGTTTGAACCATGAAGTTTGTTTACTTTGTGCCTTTTTTTTAACGAACCAGTATATGATGTGCCAATTTCATTAAATATAAAAAGGAGTAAAAGTTACTTGTACAAGTACGAAGAAACTGTACAAAAGAGGTAAGGCATAAGGAACTAAGAGTTCCAGGTGCTTTGCTCCTGCCAAGGTCTAAGTTTTAGCTTCCTCTTTGATTTTTACTCCTAGCTCCTAGGGAAGTGACAGACTAATTTAGACTAAGTTACTTTGTGCCTAATCAACTTATCACACTATAAACTCAAAGTTTTGCTTTTATTGGTAGGTGTCGGTGACATGGGACCGGGAGTATCACGACTAGAGGCTTGAGGCAGACACAATCGCCCACGTGGCCTGGCACCCTCGGGGGACGTCGGGCCCGAGGGTGATGTGTGCGCCCACCTCTTGGTCTCCCCGAAGGGGGGGGGGGTCGGACCACTCCTGCCTCGCCCCCGAGGGCCAAGGCGCCCCGACCCCTCGCGGGTTCTACTCCGCGTGTATGGGTTAGGTGAGCACAGCGGGGCTCACCTAACCGCATTTATTGCGGCTCGGCTAAATGTGTCACGCCGCACGAAATACAGTGCAGTGCACTCGTTTGTCCGGTCTGTGGCCAGTCACAGACCGGTCAGATCGCAGGTTAGGAGGCGACAGGCGGTCTGACGCACGCTTCGCCCCATCCCGTCAAGACGAGAGCTTCTAGGCACTCGTCCCCAGCTGGAGCTAGCGTGTTACCTCCCAGAGATGGCACGTTAGCCCCGGTCGGATATATGCCAGGCTTCATCCTAACCATTACAAGCAAGATGTTGTGTGAAGAAGGGCAAACATGCACGTTGCTAAGCTGACGCGTGGTGGACAAGAATGACCGATTTGTGACCGGTCTGACACTGATCATGTCATCGGCAGACAGCCACGTTCCCACGACGCGCCTGCCCCCGGCAGAAGTGGAGGTAGGTATGTGCCGTCCCGTCAGAAGGATGTTCGGAGGGCAACCGTGCAAATCTCCGTCCATTTATGAAGAGAAGAAAAGTCCAGTTTGGAAAGAGAGGGGTGCATGTGGTATCCCCTTGAGATATAAAAGGAGGACCTTGCCCATTGAGAAGGGGGGGATTTTTGGTTTTTTCCAGAGTCGGAACCTAGAACAAGGGGGAGGTTGGCTCACACTTTGTAGCTCCTTCATACACAGATCCACCAAAACACAGGAGTAGGGCATTACGCTTCTTAGCGGCCCGAACCTGTATACATCGCTTGTGTCTCATGCTCTTTCGATAGGTCGCGATCTTTCCACATACAGAGAGAGCTTGGGATTTCACCCTGAGCCCCCGGCCGAACCGGCAAAGGGGGGCCTGTGCGGTCTCCCGGTGAGGAGCCCCGCGCTCCGTCATCTGGCACGCCAGGTAGGGGGCTCAGCGTGTGTCCTCTGAGCTCTCGCACTCTGCCCTGTGCGCCAAGCTTTTCCTGTTCAGCCAGATGGCCGAGCAAGCAAAGGCGCACGACCACTCTCCGAGTGTGAGTGGCGACGACGGGGAGCCGAACCCACGCCGTCGAGCTCGTACTCCACCGCCCCCTCCACGCCAAAGTCCTAAGCGGGGGGAGGCGCTCGAGAGGGTCGAAAGATCCGCGACTTCACCGATCGCGGATGATGGAAAAGAACGGCGAGATGGGGAGCGTCGCCTCCTCGTCTACGGCGACGGCAGCACGCCCCAGGGCGCGCTCCAAGCTGCGGGCGCGCTCTTACGCCACCCGCCTGTCGTCCCTGACCCGGAGTCTCCAGCCCAACGATGGCTGGACGACGTGGCCAAATTGGTCATGACGGCGCGGCAGCGCCTAGATGCTGGTGGGCGGTCCTCCGCCACCAAGGCCTCTGGTGCTGCTACCACCGGCTCCGCGTCGTCAAGACGGAGGGCACGACGAGCAGCAGCCGCTGTTCGCCGTTCGGCTGCCACTCCTTCGTCGACTCCTTCGACCCGGGAAGATCAGCGTGGGGAGCAGGACGCCCGCACCAGCATCGAGCGCCGGCGTAATGACCGAAGTGCTACCCACGCAACGGAGGGCGCTTCCTCGTCCAGAGTGTCACCTCGACACGGACGTGGGAATCAGCCCTCCGTGCCCCCGGTTGGTGGTGTCGGCTGTAGAGCCTTTGTGGCGAGTCTTCGGAATGTCCGTTGGCCCCCAAGGTTCCGGCCCACCATCGCCGAAAAATATGATGGCAGCGTCAACCCCGCCGAGTTTCTCCAGGTCTACACGACCGGGATTGAGGCCGCCGGGGGTGACGACAGGGTCATGGCGAATTTCTTTCCCATGGCCCTGAAGGGGCAGGCGCGGGGTTGGCTAATGAACTTGCCACCTGCATCTGTCCACTCTTGGGAGGATTTGTGCCAACAGTTCACCATGAACTTCCAAGGCACATATCCGCGCCCCGGTGAGGAAGCGGACTTGCACGCCGTACAGCGAAGGGACGATGAGTCACTTCGATCGTACATTCAGCGGTTCTGTCAAGTCCGCAATACCATACCATGCATCCTTGCACACGCGGTAATCTACGCGTTCAGGGGGGGCGTGCGGCACAACCGCATGCTCGAAAAGATCGCCTCCAAAGAGCCCCAGACTACCGCAGAGCTTTTTCAGCTCGCAGACCGAGTGGCTCGCAAGGAGGAGGCCTGGACTTGGAACCCCTCCGGTTCCGGTGTGGCAGCTTCGGCCGCCCCCGGATCCGCCGCTCAGACAGGGCGGCGTGACAGGAGGAGGAAGAAGAGGTCAGTCCGTTCCGACGACGAGGGTCATGTCCTCGCCGTCGAGGGCGCTTCGCGGGCCACCCGAAAGGGGAGGCCTGCGAGCGACAAAAAGAAGGAGGCCAGCGCTCCCAGCAGGGAGCGTCCCACCGGCAAGTGGTGCACCGTCCACAATACCTCCCTCCATGACCTTGCGGACTGTCGCGCAGTCAAAAACTTGGTTGAGCGGACAAGGAAGTGGGAGGAGGAGAGGAGGCAGGAGCGCCGGGAAGGCAAGTCCCCGGCGGTTCCTTCCGGCCATCGGCGAAGTGAGGCCAAGCAGAAGGC